GCTCCACCTATGTTAATTTCGTTAATTCTATATCCTATATTCGAAAAAGTGAGTGTACCCTTCTATGTTTCATTTTCACTACTATAACTGCGAGAACACATTCGATTGTTTTCGATTTTAATTCGAAATTTCTCACTCATGTCTTTTTTAAGATAGGAGATATGTGCAGGATCGTAATGCAAATTAATACTAAAATTAATTTTTAGCAATAAGAGTATTTTGTAGTGTTGTTATAATTTTTTGTGTACAGAAAATAGGTATTGAGGACCACTGGCCAATATTTGAAATATTATATTGTAACTGAGTCAAAATACGTAAAGTGTACTCGAAATTATCAATTTGCCTATATATATTTAACAATGATTGGAATTGACACATAATTATATGTTATTTAACAAGTTTAAACGATTTTTTAAAAAATTAAATTTCTTTTAATTATAAACAATTTAAGTTTTTTGCAATCTTTAATTAAAAAATTCATATCATCTTTAACCTTTAAAGTGCTAAGTGTTGAAAAATCACGCTCAGTGCTAACCCCGGTCTGTCAGACCGCTATTCCCTTTTGACAGTTTTTTAGTCATTTATAATTTTTAAAGACAACTATTATAAATATTTTTTACTTTTTAACAAAAAAAGTCATTTCTGTATTATGCATTTATTTATTTTATTTATTTTATAAATGCAGTCTATGAGAACTTTCAGTAGGACTAGCTGCGCGTCAAGTTGCGCAGACGTTACTCATGGGAATATACTGGAATATACATTCACTTAAAGCTAACCCCGGTCTCACAGACCGCTATACTTCAAATATTTATTTATATTACAAAATTTAACGAATAAAATTTTTTTAAAAATTTGTCTCCTAACAGATTTTCATAAAATATGAAGCTACTAAAAAGTTGAAGTTCTTATTATACTTTGAAAAAAAGTTTCAAGCAAAGAAAATTTTAATAGCGGTCTGTCAGACCGGCATAGCACTTTAAAGGTTAAGATTATTTGTGTACTTTTTTGTTTTGTTTATTAACACATTAATTAATTATTAAAACGTAAATTAGGTTAAGTAATTTATTTAATTAAATTTAAATAATTAATTCAATTAATTAAATATATCTTGTGATACGTTGAAAATTTACGAAAAGTATATAAGCTAAAAATAAATTATAATTTCGTTCAAGAATAAAGTTTATTAAAATTTAGTAAAAATAAGATAATATATCTTCCTCACTACAATCTATTTTACAATGATGTGTTTTTGAGGAAGTGTATCAGCAGAAAAAAATTTACAATAAAGACTTTTTTCATCTTTAACAGAAAAACAATTATATTGGCGAGTTTGTTTTATCGTCACAGCCTTTTGAAACCTATTTAAAAAAAAAAATTTTCATCTTCGTGGTCTTTCTTGATGCAAAAATCTAAATCAATTTTTTTGAAAAATGCTTTTGCCTAATCGAATAGAATTTTTGGGTTTGTGATTTGATCACCGTGTGGTCTTTGCAAGCTGGTCTTGTGTGCAGTTCTTTTTACGGTATCCCCAATACCGTCGCATGCACCCTTACCGTTGGATGTTGCGAAAAAATGCCATTCTGCGATAATATTAAAATCTTCTTCGTGAAAAAGTAAATTAACAAAATTACTTTTGTTTTTATATTGGGAGGCAGCACCGTCCGAAAAGTTAATAATTTTTTTTAACAAATCCTCCCCATGCTTTTTTGCAAATAAGTTATTAATCTCTTGTTAAAAAGATGTACAGCTGTTGCATTATGTTTCTCATATTCTGAAATGATTACGAAGCTGTGATTGCGAAGAATGTTATTTGTCTTGTAGTATACTACATATGGATGCAATGTTACTTGTGTACTTGCCCAATGATATGCTTGCTTCTATGCAATCATTCTGCTGTTAAATCTCACATCTAAAGAACATCAAGTAACATTAAAAAAATAATTTCAAACATTTCACGATTTAAACATTATTATGTTTTAAGACGATAATATGGTTGTAGGTAATTCCTTGACCTAAATCTGAAAAAATAAAAATATGACAATTTTTGTTGTTGTTAGAAAGTAAATACACTTAGAAAACATTATACTTAATTCAAATAGAAAAATAATTTTAAGTGATTTTGTTTAATTGAAATTATTTAATAAAACATTGAATTTAACGATTTATTAAATATTTAAAACAACCATGTCATAAAATCATATAATATTTTAATTGAAATTAGTTTGTAAGCTTAATCCCAATATATAGAAAATATCTACTGCTTTGACGCGAAAGTATTATTTGTTTAAATAATTATATTTAGTTCAAACATATTTTTTGGTTTGGTTTAAACAAAAAATATGTTTAAAAATTTTATGTTTGATTCAAACTTAAAAGTCGATTATGAATAGTTTAAAATCAACCATAATTTGTGTTTGAATTAAATACATTATTCTTTTAAATGAACCAAAAAATATGTTTAAATTAAACTTAAATATGTTTGACTGTATAGCAAAGATATTTTAAGTTTGATTTAAACAAAATTTGTTTTGATCAAATAAATCGTTTTCTCAGTCATGAAATCGTATTGGTGCTTTTTAAATTCAGATTTCAGACCTTGAAATTTCAACTTTACATTTTGGTGAATCTTGCAGACACACACGTTATGACAACCATTTTTGTTCGCCAAAATACACTGTTTAGATCTCAATTTTGTAAACATTGACAAACTAATTTTGTCATTTGGATATTTAGTTATAAAAATGGAATGGTGGTCTTTTAAATTGTTCAGTAATATTTGTTTTTGTACGTTTATACGCCCTGTTTCTGTTGGTATTGAAATACAGTCATTTTTTCCCGGCATTATTCGGCTAGCTTCTTCTGACAAACAAAAACATGTTGCTTTTTCCACGATTTCAGGATTCATTTTATTTCCTTTTCTCTTCTTCGGGCGAGATTTGTATCCATCTGTTTTACGCAATTTTTTCGCTCGAGATGCCATACGACAGGAAACATTAAAATATGTACGCATTTGACGAATACTTAACTCTGTCGGAAGAGTTGTTAGTATTTCTATCTTTTCTCCATAATTTATAGCTCTCAATAATGCATCATTAACATCAGAAACTAATTGTTCGTTAATTATCGTTGCGTTGGTATTTTTCGTATTCTCCGCCGAGACATCAGTCACTATTGCTTCATTAATGGTGTTTTCAAAGGATTTTCTCTGACGTTTTGCGATTCTTTCCAGTGTAGAATTTTCCCGACTTTTTAATTTAACATTTTCCTGAGATGAAAATTTGAGTGCTTGTTTAAGCTGCTCATCTCAAAAAGTACATGATCAAGTTATTGAATCAATAATTAACCCTAAAAGGATTACGTGAATTTACTCACCCTCTAAGGAGTAACTGAGATATTCCGACACCCCACTAACCCTTACAAGCATACATTTTTTATCTCAGCTAAAAACTTACAGACCTAGTTACTCGAGGGTTTTTGGGGTCGCTGATTACGAATCTGAAGTCCGTTTTGAAAAATTCAAAATGGCGGATCCAATATGGCGGACGACTTTTACCACAAGTTCTCAATTTTAGTTGAAATTTGTTACTCGGGGGTTTTTGGGGTCGCTAATTACGAATCTGAAGTCCGTTTTGAAAAATCCAAAATGGCGGATCCAATATGGCGGACGACTTTTACCACAAGTTCTCAATTTTAGTTGAAATTTGTTACTCGGGGGTTTTTGGGGTCGCTGATTACGAATCTGAAGTCCGTTTTGAAAAATTAAAAATGGCGGATCCAATATGGCGGACGACTTTTACCACAAGTTCTCAATTTTAGTTGAAATTTGTTACTCGGGGGGTTTTGGGGTCGCTGATTACGAATCTGAAGTCCGTTTTGAAAAATTCAAAATGGCGGATCCAATATGGCGGACGACTTTTACCACAAGTTTTCAATTTTAGTTGAAATTTGTTACTCGGGGGTTTTTGGGGTCGCTGATTACGAATCTGAAGTCCGTTTTGAAAAATTCAAAATGGCGGATCCAATATGGCGGACGACTTTTACCACAAGTTCTCAATTTTAGTTGAAATTTGTTACTTGGGGGTTTTTGGGGTCGCTGATTACGAATCTGAAGTCCGTTTTGAAAAATCCAAAATAGCGGATCCAATATGGCGGACGATTTTTGAAAAGCGTTTAGTTTTACCTGAAACTTGTCACTCGGGGGTTTTTGGGGTCGCTGATTACGAATCTGAAGTCTGTTTTGAAAAATTCAAAATGGTGGATCCAATATGGCGGACGACTTTTACTAAAAGTTCTCAATTTTAGTTGAAATTTGTTACTTGGTGGTTTTAGGGGTCGCTGATATTGCCGATGAGGTACTAAGTGATATATCCCTTCGTGGAAGAAAAGAATACAACAATTCTATAACAGATAGTAACAATGCCTTTTGTTCGCTGTGATTGCTAAAAAAAATATTTAATACTGGAAGTGCTTTTTTTTACTTTAACGCAGAGGAATGATGGAAAATTTGTAATTGTTTTGCCTCCCTCATTTCAGTGAACCTAATTGATTAGTAATACGGAAAATTTACATAATTTTTTAAAGTTGCTCTTTTGACATTATACTTCTGCGTTTGTCTGCAAGGCGGTAAAAATACAGATGAAATAGTTCCTCTCACTAGGTAGGCATTTCACGTAAAATTTACATAGTTGACTTTTGAGGCAGATATATTACGAATTTTTCGTGCCCTTTCTCAGGTAAGTATCATTTTTTTACTAGATGAACGTATGAATTAGTTCCATTTAGACCTTTTTTTTCTTTTCTTTTTTCTCTTTTTAGTTACATTTTCTTCCTTTTTCAGTGATCTCTTGTTCTAACAATCAATTTGTTTTTAAAATTTTTTGTTTCTTTTTAGCTATTTTGAATTCGATTTTTATGTCTATCTCAATACAGATTGTTAGAACTTTCTAAAGTACAGGGAAAATCACACGTTTTTTAGATGCTAGGTAAGTACTAGAAATATGGAGGACGAAGTATATTTAGTAGATATTCCGAGTGATGCAGAATCTATTGATAGCCTGCGTGATTCAGAAGACGAAAATGATCAATTGACCCGAAAGGCGAAAGATGCTCCAGATCATCCATTTCTTTTGAATACTGATGTATTACACGAATCAGAGAGTGAAGAAGAAGAAGTAGAGCAGGTAGAAGAAGATGGAACATGGAGTAGACGGAGTGTACCAAGAACAGATATTCCATTCATTAAAAACTTCGGTCCAAATATCCCGACAAGTGCAAAAACTCCATTAGATATTTTCTTTTGCTTATTTCCACATACCCTTGTGGATACAATAGTGGAACAGACAAATTTGTATGCACAACAAAAGAACAGTAAGCAGGAACCAGCGAAAAAAGAAGAACTCCTTGTCTTTTTAGGGATTAACATTCTAATGGGTATAAAAAATTACCATCTTATCGGGATTATTGGTCATCTAATACGCAATTACAGGACTCATACATATCTTCGCTCATGACAGTTAATCGTTTTGGTTTCTATCTAAGTCATTTACATATAAATGACAACAAAAATGAACCCAAGAAAGGAGAAACAAATTATGACAAACTGTTCAAATTGAGACCTCTAATTGATACGCTTGGTCAAACGTTCAAAAACTGTTGGAATCCTGGAAAATACCAGGCCATTGACGAATCAATGATAAAATTCAAAGGGCGCAACAGTATGAAACAATTCATGCCTGCTAAGCCAATAAAACGTGGCTATAAGATGTGGACAAGAGCAGATGAATCTGGTTTTGTAAGCGAATTTCAAATGTACACTGGGAAAGCTGAATCAGCAGAGAAACAATTAGGTGCTCGAGTAGTAAAAGATCTTACTCGTGAACTTGTTGGCGGAAACCACCATGTTTACTTTGACAACTTTTTCACGGGCGTTGATCTTTTAGCTTCTTTGAAAAGGGATAACATTTTTGCATGCGGTACAGTAAGGGCAAATCGAGCAAAATTACCAAAGAATCAACAGTCGAACAAAAAATTCGAAAAAGGTGAGTATGAATTTCAGACTTCAACCACAGGCCTTCAGTGAATCAAATGGATGGATAAAAAACTAGTTTATTTTTTATCCAATTACCACGATCCATCTGAAACTACCGTAGTAAATCGCAGGCAAAAAGATGGATCCTTGCTTCCTATCAATTGCCCAGTCGTATCTGCTGATTACAATAAGCACATGGGCTACGTTGATTATTCTGATCGACTGCTAGCAACTTACAAAATTGATCGAAAGTCAAAAAGATGGTGGTTGAGATTATTTTGGCACTTTTTAGACCTAGTGGTAGTGAATTCATTCATTATTTACAAAAATCAAAATACTCAGCCTACTTTGACTTTGAAACAATTTCGATTGCAGCTAGTAGAACAATTAGTTGATCGCAAACTGAGAACATCGAAAGGTCGAAAACGCAAGCAGCCAGAAGTAAATACTCACAAACCAAAAGTCTCTCTCACGAAAAGGCACACAGAATCAGCTCATATGCCTGAGCACTCGACTGACTTTAGGCGTTGTGCCCATTGGAGTACTCGAGAAGCATCCAAAAGAACTGCTTGGGTTTGTAGTACTTGTAATGTTCCTCTGTGCTTATCTTCAACAAGAAACTGTTTTAAACAGTTTCACAAATAGATAAAAAAACAGAGTAAAAACTTTATGCATAATAAACGAAACCAAAAACTTAAAAAAAAAATTTAAAAACCAAAAAAAAATTTTAAAAAAAAATTTTAATTTAAAAAAAAATTTTAAAAAAAAATTAAAAAATTAAAAAAAAAAAAAGAGGAACTAGAAACTCGTCACGTCCACGTCGTTAGTTCTGGGTAAAGCAAAGAACGAGTGACAGAATTAGCTAAAATTAGGCACTTTTGGCCATTTTGGATTTTTCAAAACGGACTTCAGATTCGTAATCAGCGACCCCAAAAACCCCCGAGTAACAAATTTCAACTAAAATTGAGAACTTTTAGTAAAAGTCGTCCGCCATATTGGATCCGCCATTTTGAATTTTTCAAAACGGACTTCAGATTCGTAATCAGCGACCCCAAAAACCCTCGAGTGACAAGTTTCAGGTAAAACTAAACGATTTTTAAAAATCGTCCGCCATATTGAATCCGCCATTTTGGATTTTTCAAAACGAACTTCAGATTCGTAATCAGAGGCCCCAAAAACCCCCGAGTAACAAATTTCAACTAAAATTGAGAACTTTTGGTAAAAGTCGTCCGCCATATTGGATCCGCCATTTTGGATTTTTCAAAACGGACTTCAAATTCGTAATCAGCGACCTCAAAAACCCCCGAGTAACAAATTTTAACTAAAATTGAGCACTTTTGGTAAAAGTCGTCCGCCATATTGGATCCGCCATTTTGCATTTTGAAAATTTTGACAATCTGACCTCATATTCGTAATCAGCAATCTTAGAAACCCTGAAAACTACCATACGCTCCTTTTTTTGGGAATTCTTGACTGATTTCGAATTTTTTTATCTGAAGTGTGCGATGTTTTTGTCATGACATTGTTTATAACAAATATTTGTTACTAATATTGTACATTGTACGTCATGCGTTTGTTTTTTACGAATGCTAGTACCGTACAGAGCAAGAATTATTTGTAACAGACAAAAAATATCATTTCTTTTATCGAAAATACAAAAAAAGAATATGTGGTCAGTAGTGCTGACCACCGTGCATCTAAGGGTTAAACATATTTAAACATATTCATATTTTGATAAATTAAAATAATTTTGAAAAAAAACTGCAAAAACAAAACACCAAAAAATTAAAAAATTGACTTTTTCACAAAAAACGCTGTAGTTTCTTAAAAATTTGACTAATTTAAAAACTATTTTAGGTTTTTAAAGTTATATAGATACACTTTTAGTGGATTAAATTAGTTTTTGTATTACTTAAAAAACCATTATTTGAACATCTGAAATGAAAGAAATTAAAGACAATTGGCGAATAGTGAAAATCATAAAAATGAACTATAAAATGGACTTTAACAATTAATATTTACTAAAAATGGTGTTATAAATTTAAAATTTCACTAACTTAATGTATCTGAATATATTAACATTAACATTTATAATTAATATTTAATCGTCAAAGTTTTAATTAAAAATTTTAAATACCTCTAATATATGTTGAAATATTATTAACAATATATGGAACGGCTAAACTGCATAATACGCCATCTGTTGGCAAACTATTCTCCCCTCCAATTTTCTTTCTTTCTCTCTCTTCAATTAACAGGTTAGAAAGAGTGGAAAAAACAAAATGGAGGGACACAATAGGTCAAAGTCACTAGATTGATACTAGACCACCGTTCCCTATGGAATTTATAATTTAAATTTGACTGTCATTTATCACATTTTTTTGTATTAGAATTTAATCTCTGACTTTATATAGTCTATAGAGAGAGCACAGAAATTTCTAATAAATCTTAACTCAAATTTCATAAGTTGTTACAAATACAGAATGTTTATTTTTCATAAAAGTAGAATTTTTGTATAAAAATGTTTCTTTTTTATATAAAATACAATTTTTTCATGCATAACCTATCAATTTATACTTTATCAGATAATTTTAATTTTTAACTGATTTAAAACGATTTTGTATAAGAATTTGAATAGGCAAATCCACGAAACTGTTAACTTTTATGATACTCGAATCGAACACTTAAAAGTCCGTATTATTTTAAATTAAAACCTATTGTTTAATCATATTTTCCTAAATTATATACTAAGCATCATTTATGTACAGTATTAGAACAAAATATTAATTTAACAATTAATTTTATGAGTTTAAAATTAAAAAAACGATTAAATTTCATTTGAAACTCTCAGAAAAGTATACATTTTTAACGTTTTTATTTTTGCGGCGTGTGAAATATTAATTCAGCTACAGGGAAAATAGCTAAAAGACGTATGTTTTCAAACTTTTTTCACTATCCCATTAGTGTGCTACGACTGTAAGAAAATATATAAAGGTTTGATTGAATGATGACACTTTTTAAGAAAGTTTAATTAAACGTCTTCTTATGAAAATACCTAGTGCGGCGTAAAATAAAAATAAAAGTTCAATAAGTTTCTAAATAGACAATAAAAAATCGAACATTTTAACCCGTTGACTGTCACTGACGCATATATGCGCAAAACTAAACTGGCCAAAAGTGGTTCATGACGCATATATGCGCAACTTAAAAAAAGTGATTAAAAACTTCTTAAATGTTCCTGAAACCGGTTACTCAGAGGTTTTCGAGGTCGCTGATTACGAATATGACATTCGTTTTCCAAAATTTAAAATGGCGGATCCAATATGGCGGACAACAAAATAAAAAATTAATCAGATTGACTTGAAACGTAGTACTCGGGGGTTTTTGGGGTCGCTGATTAAGAATCTGACATCAGTTTTTCCAAATTCAAAATTGCGGATCAAAGATGGCGGAAAAATTTTCAAAATTCGTCGAATTTGCTTGAAACTTGTTACTCGGGGGTTTTAAGGGTCGCTGATTACGAATCTAACATTAGTTTTCCAAAATTCAAAATGGCAGATCCAATATGGCAGACAACGAAATAAAAAATTGATCAAATTGGCTTGAAACTGAATACTCGGGGGTTTTTAGGGTCGCTGATTACGAATCTGACATTAGTTTTTTAGGGTATTTATCGAAATTTGATTTCACCAAAAATTATCATACTGATGTCAGATTAACCAGTTTCAAACAAATTTAATAAATTAAAAAAAAATTTCCGCCATATTGAACCCCATATTAAACCCCTGAGTAACAAGTTTCAAGCAAATTCGACGAATTTTGAATTTCGAAAAACTGATGTCAGATTCGTAATCAGCGACCCCAGAAACTTTAGGGTACGAAGTTTCATAAAAATCCATTAAAAATTTTTTCAACACACTTTTGGCCCAAACAGTGGAAATCTCGTTGACAGCCAAGAGGTTAAGACCTTTTTCATTAGTGTGCCTATATTTGTATTCCTGTAAAAACAATTTAAAGATGTTAATACAAATCGTGATTTTATTTAAATTTATACATTTTTGAAAGGCACAACTACAATTTTACTTTAAACAAGTCCATGTATAGTGTGATCGAAGCATTGCCTTACAGATATTCAAAAAAAAAGTATGCCGCTCAAGGATTTTAAAAACTATCAATTTTATTAAGTTAAGAATATGCTTAAAATTTCAGAAGTTGAATTCTTAAAAATCAAAAAGTTCAATTAATCATTTTAAATTTAAATTTAAACTTTATATTCGTAATCAGCGACCCCAATGACACCCGAGTAACGAGTTTCAATCAAATCCAACTATTTAAATTTGTCATCCGTCATAATGGAGCCGCCATTTTGAATTTTGAAAAACCGACTTCAGATTGTCCAGCGGCGACCCTAAAAACCTCCGAGTAAAAAGTTTCAACTGATTTAATTGATGGGAAGGTCTTACACATTTTTTTTCACTTTATAATATTTCAGTTCCGGAAGGGGTTAATAATAAGTGTTAAACATTGGGGCATGGGTTAAAAATGAATCACGCATACGAATTTGTGGTGCTAGAACATTCTTGAACACGTATGCAAAGTGACATCTATGTGCATACAAATTAATAAAAAAAAAATTTTTCTTAAAAGTCAAAAGTTTTATGGATTTATATACTTACCTTGATAATTTTTCTAACGTTAGGGAGTAACTAGGGTGTTCAGACAAAAAAAGAAAAAAACTTTTGGCGGCACTACAGGTGTAAACAGACAGAGGTTCAAACTAAATTATCAACGGGTTTTAAGCGTAAAAAATTATTAGCTAAGCCAGGGGAATACCTTGAATTTTGCTTAGGGTGTCCAGACACCCCAGTTACTCTTTCTAGGGTTAAGACAAAACGAATAATCAGGATACAGTTAGAAAAACGTCAACATTGCTTTGGAGATATATTGCTTTGAAGGTGACTACCTCAAAAACGAAAATCTGAAAATTGGTGGGGCTAAACCGGACACCCCATGGGGCTAAATCGGACACGGCTAATTAATTAAAAATGAGAGAGACACAAATTTTCATTTTTTTGTAGAAAAGTCAAATGAATTCTTTTTTTTATTTATTTGTAGGTAATTATATGCAAAGAATATAATATAAAATGTAAAATATGTAATTAATATAATATAAAATGAATGATAGTTTTCAGACTTGTTTGTTTTCAGCAGCTCGCTTGCTAATTCGTGTTTTAAAATAAATTCTTTATTTATTTATTAATAAAGTGGTTCTATGCAAAGATTTTAATATAAAGTAGGCCATTAATATAAAATAAATTAGAGTATTCGCAAATTTGATCTAATAATTAACCTGCAATTTAAATTTTTTCTTCTTAACGTTTTTTATTGAACTTTTTTTCTACTAAACTGAGTACACCTTCAGCTAATAAAAAAGTGCCATATGATATGTGCACCTAAATTATGACGATAAAAATCCAAAAAAATGAAAAAAATTTTTACTTTTACTGCGAAAAACGACATTTTTATATGTATATTAACGACAACTACACAGCCCCACCAAAAAAGAAAAGTACCCTGTCCACAGTACTATACCCCTATGTATTTTGATGCGCTGAACACGAATCCGAAGTCAGATTTGCTCCATCACGTCAGGATTTTTTTCTAACCTTAAAAAACATGTCAGATTTTATGTAACTTATGTAAAATACAAAATTTTTTAAAAATTGATTAGATTTGTCTCAAACTTGGTTTATAGGGGTTTTCGGGGTCGCTGATTACAAATTTGCAGTCAGATTTAAAAAATTTAATATGGCGGATCCAATATAGCGGTTATTTTTTTGAAAATTGATTTATTTTGCTTTAAAATGGGTACTCAGTGGTTTTTCGGATCGCTGATCACAAATTTCAAATCAGACTTTAAAAATTTCTAACAACTGGTCCAATATGACTTGATATGCAAGCATTTTGGGAGTCGGTGAATTTAAAAGTTTCAAAAAGTTCGTTGGAAAACATTTATGCAGCAGGAAATGCAGATTTTTGGTAACCTGAATGCCTCAATTAAAATGTATTTATCGAGACGACATCTAGGAACATTTCTAGAGAATTAGGCATAATTTCTGGATAAAGTTCAATTCAACAATTGCAGAATACTTTTCTCTTAGACGCAGGCCTACTAGGACATAATACAGTATTGTATTTCCGTTGTGCTTTAGCACAATATTAATCCTGCTGCTTCGATAGATGTAGTAGGCGATGACAACTGCCCCGAAAGGGGATGTGTAGAATGATTTGCTTCCTGTCTATCGAAGTAACGAACCCAGCGAAGGCCCGCTGCCTTGCAGGGGGACGTTAGGGTGTGAGGATGATACCGTAGTGTGTCCGACGACGAGTTGACAATGTCCTCGTCAAAGTCGGAAAGCTCTCATACTTAGTCCTATGGAGGTATGAAAGTTATCACACCTAGGACGGTGGACTCGCCTGCGACCGGATGAGGATCCCTAGCGTGCGGGCATTTTCCTAAATATCATGGCTTTTAAAAATCAAAACAATAAAAAAACTTCAAACGCTTTAAAAGTTCTTTTTGGAGTGTCAACCTCACAACATACATGTGACAGCAATGCAGATGTATTTTGTTACGTATGCGGACAATTTGATATCCCGAAAAATAGCAAATTAATTAATGAAAACATTAAACAAATTTACAAAGATTGTTTTGATTTTGAGATAGTCAATCGGAATGAAAAATGGGTTCCACATACAATCTGCAGTTCCTGCTACACAATGTTAACTCGTTGGAATGATACGAAAGAGGATAAACACCTGAAGTTTAAAAAACCAACATTGTGGAAAAAACCATTCAATCGAGAAGATTGCTACTTTTGCATGATCAATGTAAAGGGCTATAATAAAAATAATAAAAGGAATATAATTTACGCATGTGTAGTATCTGTGGCAAAACCCGAAATTTTAAGTCATTTAACTCTTTCGTCTACAAATATGGAAATCGACAGTTTACCATTAGAGTATGTACTTTCCGATATAAGTGATGAGATTAGTAATATTGTAGAAGACAATGATGATATTTATATTCCAGATGGTTATCAAGAAGAAAAGGTTAAAGAAGGCTTTACGCAAGAAGAGCTTAGCAACCTCATCAGAGAAATATTTTACAAAAGACGATGATATTTCATTAGTATATTGTTCTGACATTGAAGGACTAGTAAATGAATTGAAACCAAACGTATATGAAGATCAACATTGGAGGTTATTCATTGAATCTTCTAAAATAAGTCTAAAGGCAGTGCTAATTCATAACACTAATGTTTTTGCTTCAATTCCCGTAGCCCATTCCACTGAACTTAAAGAAGATTATGAAACTGTCAAATTAGTTTTGGAGAAAATTAAATATAAAGAACACAATTGGCAAATTTGTGGAGATTTTAAAATTATAAGTATCATGTTGGGCCAACAAGCAGGTTTTACGAAAACACCTTGCTTTTTATGTTTGTGGGACAGTAGAGATCGAAAAAAAACATTACGTACAAAAAGAATGGCCCAAAAGAACATCCTTTACACCAGGTTCCAAAAATTTTATAAAAAAACCTCTAGTTGAACCTACAAAGATAATTCCATCACCTTTACATATTAAACTAGGGGTAATGAAACAGTTTGTAAAGTCTTTAGATAAAGAAGGGAAATGTTTCAAGTACCTGGAACAAAAATTTCCAGAGATATCTGATGCTAAATTAAAGGAAGGAATTTTTGTTGGGCCTCAAATTCGCAAACTAGTAAAAGATAAAAAATTTATTACAGTAATGAGTAAAAAGGAGAAAGCTGCATTGCTTAGTTTTAAGGGAGTTATTGAAAACTGTATTGGCAACCATAAGAGCGAGAATTGGGAACTAATAGTGAATGGTATGATCAAAAACTTTTAAAAATTGAAATGCTTTATGAGTTTGAAGCTCCATTTCCTACATTCACATCTAAGTTACTTTCCCAAAAATTTAGGAGACTACAGCAAAGAACAGGGAGAACGGTTTCATCAAGATATTAATGAAATGGAAAGCAGATATCAAGGCACATGGGACGTAAATATGATGACTGACTATTGTTGGATGCTAAAAAGGGATATTGTTCCAGGAAGAGTAAACTTAAAAAGAAAACCACTGCACAGGTCTTTTTGAAGACAAACGAGTCCGTTACTATAAACAGACATAAATAAAAATTACATTATTTTCAAACGGACATATTGATTTTTCAAAATCTAATTGAAGATTTGTTATCAGTGATCCGAAAAACCACTGAGTACCCATTTTAAAGCAAAATAAATCAATTTTCAAAAAAATGACCGCCATATTGGATTTGCCATATTGAATTTTTAAAATCTGACTGCAAGTTTGTAATCAGCGACCCGAAAACCCCTATATACCAAGTAAAGTGAAAATCCAACAAATTTTTTTAATTTGTCCGCCATTTTGAATTTTTAAAAACTGATTGCAGATTCGTAATCAGCGCTCTTAAAAACCCCCGAGAAACAAGTTTGAGACAAATCTAATCAATTTTTAAAAAATTTTGTATTTTACATAAATTACATGAAATCTGACATGTTTTTTGAGGTTAGAAAAAAATCCTGACGTTATGGAGCAAATCTGACTTCGGATTCGTATTCAGCGCATCAAAATACATGGGGGTATGGTACTGCGGACTTTCGCGCAGGGTACTTTTCTGTTTTTGTGTGGCTGTGCTATTATTACAAGAAAAATGACATGTCCCTAAAACCTCATGCAATATATGCTTCACGAAATAGCGCATTCGCAGCTTATTAACATTATTTGAAATTCTTCATTTTTTCGGAAATATTTGACTTGTCCGGTTTAGCCCCAGTCTCCCCTACGGCAAATAAAGTTTCAAACTATGCAAAAACTGTAATTTACTGTACAGTTCTAACTGCTTTTATTAAGCATGTGAAGAAAGAACAAGTGTCTGAAATGCATTTGAAAAAGGGTATTGACGGAGGAGGGGGATTTTTGAAGACATGTTTGTCGGTCCAATCACTGGATAATGAACAAGCTATAACTAGACGTTCTGCGTACAAGGATGGCATTGAAGCCAAACGTTTTAAAGACTCTGGTTTTAAAAAATCTCCATGTTATGCATGGGCATAACATTCTTGCCCATGTACAATGTACGTTTTCACTTTTTGTCTTACCTTCGCAAAATAACAGTACTTTGAACTGTCTGCTGTCTCTTACGAGAATCTTTTTTTCATGCTGTTATTGGATGGTTCCTGTGATAATTCCATGTCGACATGACGTTTATGGAACTTCCAACATATAGAGATTGTTGAAAAACCGATTTGCCGCCTATGGGATCTTCCTGATTTATATCTGCTTAATTACATATCTGATTTTGTAAGTCTCCGAACAACATTTTTTTACGACAGATTTTTAAAAAACGATTTTGTCGAAAACATTTTTTTTACAAATTTTTTTTTATTTTAACCCAATATTTTTTATTTATTTTTTTTAAAGAATTTTTTTAACCCATTGCCTGTTTTAGACCCAACGTTGGGTCGTGAAAACAGATGGCTCAGACTGTTTCCGACCAACGTTGGGTCGTGAAAGTTTTAGCAAAAAAAAATATTGTTATTTAAATTATAAAATAAATTCTTTTATATCATTATTCACATACTATAGATATCAATGATACTAGAAAAAGTATTAAATAGAAAATTGTTTATTATTTTTAAGTAAGATAACAATTTAAAAGATTTTGATGGACATTTTGGGGCACTAAAATGAATATTTTTCCAAACAGCGAAGGGGTTAAGTTTAAGATGAAAAAACTTTCGATTTGTTATCAGTCAGAATAATTTTTTTTGTGTTTCTTTTTTTATACACGTCGACGAAACAATAATATCAATTCATTTCTTTGAAGAAAAATTTCTAAATTTACGCGAGTGTATAATTATTTATCAGTCAATAATAGAAAAATTTATTATCATTAAAACTTTTGAATTTATGAAATCATTAATTTCTAAAAAGATCTTATTAAGATTTTGAAAATATTTTATAATTCAATTTAAAAATTGATATAAATTTTACATTTTTAAAAATGAGGATAGTTTTATCAATTCTGGATTTCGTCGTTTATTTTCTGATTATTGGATTAATTTCTTGACTGGGAATTTTTAACTACAAATACGGACATTCAAGTGATTATTTTGAATTTTAACTCATTTTTAAAAATTTTATAATATTCATAAATTAGTTTTCTCGGAGCGATTAAGTAAATAAATAAATATTCTTTTTTAAAAAAACTTTCAATGACAGACCATCTGCATAATAAGTCGTCATATACTTCGCCGGGGGGTACTTTCGGGGGAAATAATGTTTTTCAATTTGGAAATCTACCTTTGGTCGGTGGTGCTGCTATGCGACTTATTAGCCCAGTAAAAAAAAAGTATTCAGAATAGAGAAAAAGTATTGGTGGAGACGTTCGGTGAATGCGTTTTCGCGACAAAACCGTATTGGTGGGTTACGGTGAATACATTTTGCTTACCGTGAATACATTTTTTTTAAACTCTCGATTTAAAGATTCATAAGCAAAGTTGAGAATATTTATAAAGAGCGTAAGTGACCTGAAGTATAAAAATGACGATTGCGAGAAGGAAATAAGAAATTTTGAGAAAAAATGAAAAATTAAATGTGACAAACCTACAACGTATGATGATGAAAAGGAACATTGACGATACCGACAGAAACTTGAGAAATCCAAGTAAATGTATGTGAAACAGTAAGTTCCGCCGGTAACGTCAAAGTTTCTTTTAATCATCGTACGTTGTATGCACAGAAAAGCATATGGTAATTGATCAACATTTGACAATCTGTTTGTCACATTTAATTTTTCGTTTTTTCTTAAAATTTCTCATTTCCTTCTCGCAATAGTCATTTTTATACTTCAGGTCACTTACGCTCTTTATAAATATTCTCAACTTTGCTTAGGAATCTTTAAATCGAAAGTTTTAAAAAAAAAGTATTCACGGTAAGCAAAATGTATTCATCGTAACCCACCAATACGGTTTTGTCGCGAAAACGCATTCACCGAACGTCTCCACCAATACTTTTTTTCTATTCTGAATACTTTTTTTTACTGGGAGACTAGTACCTGTCAAAGAACATGATAAAAGAAAAATTTTCGTGCACGTAAATTTATAATCATATGTTTGCATGATTTCCTAAAAGCACCTTTTATCAAAAAATCGCTTCGGTACTTCTATTCCGGTCGA